GCTTAATACCTTTGTCCAATAGATTCTAATTCGAGCTACATTGTTTCACTGAGACGAGCATATTAGATAATTAAGCAAGAAAAACAACAATACTATTATACGTTCTATTGGATTTTCTAGTCTTTAAACTTGTTATCTCGAATTGTTTTATTGCACGCATACATACGTTGCATGCTATTAAGTTATTTTTTAGCTTTCTTCAAAACGCGTGTGTAAATTTCTAAAATTTCTAAAATCCAATTTATTATAAAAGCATCTTATCTTCTATATTTAAAAAGCTAAAAACTATATTATACAATAATAAAATTTATAAATAGGCGCAGACATTGAAATTGAATGTTTAATGATAGTTTTTTGACATCGCATTGTGAGAATTTACAGGTAATACATTTTTCATCGTTTAACTATAATATCTATTATAATTGAGTTGATCGAGATATTAAATGACATTTACTTAATTTAATGTGTCTATTAAACTTTGCAATATCAAGAAATGTGTTTTGCTAGAGACCGCGAGTAATTACACATAGGTATCTTTCAAGGTATTAAATTATGTAACAGGTAGCTAAACACATATATATAATACTGACGTAAATAACGCTATTTTCTTATTAATTAAATTCAGCTACACCTTACTTCAGGAAGTACATTAAAGAGAACAAAGAGCGAGAGAGAGAGAGAGAGAGAGAAAAAATTGATATTTCGCTACCTGATGAGAGTGTATGTGTGTTCTCGATTATTATAGAAAATCATGGATATAAAATACTCTAACTTTCACGTAACAATTTACATAATATATCACGGTCCTAAGTTTGAAGTACGCATTTTGTGTGTGTGACAATATCTACATATAAATATCATAGTATATTAAGTGTTCTCCATATTTATTATATATAAGTATATGTTAATTATATAAGGTATATGTGTTAATAACATAAGCCTGTTATTCAAACTTTAAATATATATTTAAAATAGTTCTGTAGAAAATTTAAACATACTTTTAAAATTTATAGAAAAGTTTTATAGAAAAAAACTCATTTATCTTGTTTATGTTGGCTTTGAACATTAACGATGTAAAATACTTACTTAGTTCTTTTTTTCTTCTTAGTTCTTTCTTTTTATCTTCTTTTCGATAAACTTGATAAACTTAATTTTTTTGTGACGTGCCGCTAAATCGGATTTTTGAATCGTTGATGTTATTAAAATTGGTTTTGATGATCTATCTCTACTCTTGTCTTTTGTATGTACATTATTATGCTTATTATATGACTTTAGTTTTTACTGTTTTGTTTTTTCTTTAAAACTATAATGGAATTAATTAGATTGGAATGGGAGTGTTTTCAAAATAGTTCATAGGAAAAAGGAGAATTATAAGTGTGCGTACAGTGTGCAAAATATAAAATATAAATTTTGACATGTCAACAGAAAATGTTTAAAAAATTTACACTGTTTACACTGTTTACAGTAATTTAATTTATACTGCATACGATTAATTTTTTTCAAATTTCTGCACTCGTTTAGCTCCGATGTGTTAAAGTAATATTAAAATATTAAAATTGTATTTAATATATATATATATTTTTTTAAAGATGTATTAATTGAGATATAAAAACGTGGATGATTAGCATTGATAAAAGTTCACTGCTATAAGTTTCGCAGCACAGACGAAAACTATTGTTTCAAATTCACGCTGTTTTTTCTTTGTAGAGCCACGGTGTACCAAATCGACAGAACGGGTGCGCAGTATAAACTGAAGGGAAGCCGGAGGTTTCCTGAGGATTCACGTCCGTTCGACGCGACGCAGTCGCACCAGGTCCATCCATATTTCTCTTTTCTCCCCATAATAACACTTCCTATATATTTTTTTTCTCACACTATCGTTCTCGCAAGTTCATATATATGTATAGAATGCCACTTCTCAAAAAGAAAAAATTTATGAAGAGAGAAATATTCTTCAAACGTACATAGCATGTATGTTATTTCATTAAGCTACATGCACATTCTCAGATATTAGTTTACTTCGGTTAGCACGACTAGTGATTTATAAAAAAATCAGATCATATTCATTCAGATGATGAATATTTACGCAAGTTTTTTTTATCGAACACTGTTTTTTTTAAATATAAAGTAAAAATTTACGGAATATCTATATTCCTACATTTCTTCGTATATTTCTTTGCACTTCTCTGCAAGAATAAAAAAGAAGATAAAAAAACACATTTTCACTGAAATACATATTTATAACATAACAACAAAAAATTGCCAGTTTTATTGCTTTTAGCAAACACTTTTGTTTATTTATTTTGTTATTATTATTGCTTTGAATGTCTAATATATTGAAGAGAAAGCTAAAATACGATGTAGTTTATTGAAAATGCATTTGCATTTTATTTTGATCTATGATTTACCCACATTTAATGTTAAACAGTTTAACAGATCCAATCAAAATATCATGTACTTATGTATCTAAAAGTTATCATGATTATTATTACCGTACTAATACCGTCGAAGATTTACCGACAATTTACCGAGAATTGCACAATTCGCGATTTTCAAGAAAGCCGCGTAACATAGCACGCACAATCCTCTTTTTCATTTATATATTTTAATACACCGCTGTTGTGTCATGAACGCCTTGATTTTCGAGAAAAAATTCAAAGAATTCTTTTAATTACTTGTGATTGATTGACGCCACTAACAAAAAGAGGACGGGAGAATCAGAAAAACATGGTAAAAATAGTGTAGATACGTTTTCAAACGATTTGCTCCTTTTTCATTGACCGTGCGCATTTTCCGTAATGTAAAACCTTTATCTTTAATAAAATGGTAAAACCGTTACCTTAAATAAACGCGTGAGATTTATCAATATTGAAAATTCGCGTATCTTCGTCCGCACAAAATTTGATTTTTTTTTTTTTTTTTTTTTTTTAAAAAAATG